CCGCCGTCCGGATCCCATCGAGCTCAGGATGGGCGCGAGTGCCTCCGGCGGACCCCGGGCGCGGGCCGGCATCCGGCCGCCGCTGCTGCTGCTGCTGCTGCTCGGGCTGCTGGCTCCGGGCGCGCAGGGGGCGCGGGGCCGAAGCGGCCCCGAGAAGAACAGCTACCGCCGCACGGTCAACACCTTCTCGCAGAGCGTCAGCAGCCTGTTCGGAGAGGAAAACGTGCGCGTCGCGCAGAAGGTGGGCCCCCGTTCCCGCGCCCGCGGTCACCTTGCCCTGGCCGCCGCGCACCTGCGCTCGAGGTCGGCCTGGGGCCCGTGCGGGGCCTCCTGGGACTCCCAGAAAGAGGGCCCCGGCCGGGGGTTTGGGGGGGTGGTCCTCGATCTGCGCCCTGCGGCGCCCGTCCTGCTGGGCCAGAGGAGGATCTGGGGCCGGTTCCGGCTCAGGGCCTCGAGGCGCGCTCTCCCCGGATGGCTCGTCTCCTTGGACCTTGCCCCCGAAGGCCGCGCACCCCCGCTTCTGCGCGGCTCTGACGCGGGCCGCGCCGCCCATTCATTCAGTCGTTCATTGAACACGTTTGATGAGCACCTACTATGAGCCAGGCACCCGGCCGGCCGCCTGGTGGCGCCCTCCCGGCCACGCCCGCGGCCGCTGCCAGTGCTGTGCTCCCCCAACCCCCAGTTCCTTCTACCCTCGCCCCCAACCCACTTCTCCAAGGCCCCTTAATCCCGCCTTCTGCTTTAAAAGATATTTAGTTTTTTTGGTGTTTTTTTTTTTTAATTTAACGAGAAAAGAAAGGTGGCTCAGCCGTCTGCTCTGTCCTCTGCCACAGTGACCCTCTTCCCCTGCCCCAAGCACCAAGTGTGTGCTGGGCTTTTCACTGGAGCATTTTGTTTACTGCGTGGTGGTTGTTTAGGATCCTGTAATCTCTCCCTCCTCCCCTACTCCTCACCCCCTACCCCCAAGGGTGCCCAGGGCTTCCCAGCCCCACTTGCCAGGGCTGGGTGGCCATTTTCGGCCAGAGCCCACCGAGGAGCCCCCGAGAAAGAGGAAGTGAGTGGGGCACAGTTGCCTGTAGCGCGTGGTTTTGGGGGTTCGGCCTCACACTTCCTTTGACCTCGTGTGCTCTCTAGCTCTGGGGTTTGGGAATGGAGAGAAGTTCGCCTTCACGTTGGGGCTGGATGACTTTAGGAAAGTGACTTCACTTTTTTAAGTGGTAAGGATGTGAGGTTGAGGTGGTGATGATTCATGACCCTCCTGGACCAGAGGGCAGGCTGGATCAGGGCCACTGGTCACTGCTCCTGAACCAGGTAACCAGAGATCTTGCTTAACTCTGCTGGAAGAACTTTCAGGGTTTCTTGGTGCTTGAGATGGAGGGGAGGGAAGATCTCCTAAACCCAACTCAGTCGACTGTGTTCTTAGTGGGTAACAGACTATTTCATTGGGTAGAAAACTCACTTCTAAGCCCCCTCCCCAAGGGAGCACACCTGCCTCTGGTGCAGCGTGGGGTCCTGGGGTTGTATTTGGCCAAGAGGGAAGAGAGTACATTCAACACCTGAATTTAAAGATTGGTCGACTCCCAGAGCGGAAAGGCCATGGGCAAAGTTACTCTACCACCCTAGCAAATGGGAGGCAGAAGTCACTTGTTTTACAGCAAAAAGAAGTCAGACATTTTTGTGCAGGGTAAGCACTAGCCATTATGTCTCAACCAGCAGCTGGATGTGAGAACAAAAGTCCTTGGCATGAAATATAAATAAGATTTTGAGGGCCCTCCCTGGCAATGCAGTGGGTTAAAGCAAAATACCATGAAGTTTGCTGCAGCCACTTCAGCGCGAATTCAATCCCTGGCCAGGGAGGTGACCCACATGGTGCAGCAGGCCTCCACTGACCCACCCACTGCTCTCCTCAATAGTGTACATCGTCCATCTGCCTGTTCTGCTCCCTGCTCTAGTGAGTCCTCTCACTACTTCTGCACCTCTGGCTTGTACCGCAGGTCAAAATAAATCAATAAATAAGATTTTGAAGGGTTTAATCTCTGGGTTGGTATCACTAAATAGCCATATTCTGGCCAAGAACCTGAGAATCCTGAGGTCAGTTCTGGTGTGGGGGGTAAAGCCGAGGTGGTGCCTTCAGAGGGATGATGCCAGCAAGGGCTTCCTTAGACTGTTTAGTTCTCTGATCCTGAAAGTCACCCATTGAATCCTAACCCCACCTATGAAGTGGTCGTACCAGTGTTTCCACTTTACAGATGAGCAGAGTGAGGCACAGAGTGTGACCGAGTGACTGGCTTCAGGTCAACCTGAGTGGCAGAGCTGGGACTGGAGCCCCCGATCTTCCTGCCTCATGAGACCCTTTCCTGGTTGCCCCCATTGAAATCCAAGTCAGATTGACTGTGTGTGTGTGTGTGTGTGTGTGTGTGTTTAAGGATTTATTTATACATAGAAGAACTGGGGTGCAGGCCAGAGATAGGGACGGGAGGTTTTGGGGATTCACCAGAGACAGGAGAGAGCAGAAATACACTGCTGACGGGAGCAGCAGGGAGACAGAAGTGGTCTGCTGTGTCATGTGGGTCACCTTCCTGGCCAGGTATTGAACTCAGGCCATAGTGATGATAGCACTGAGACTTAACCCCTGGGGCACCTGGAAGGCCCCTGGACTATGTGTACTTACAGAGTAACACAGACTGCTTCATTGAGTGGTAAAAGTAACTCTTCTGGCCAATGAGCCTGACCGGCCATTTTTTTCCTTTGGTGACCAGCCAAGCAGGAGAGATTGTTTTGTTAATCTTCAGAGGAAGAGTGTTCCTGCTGCTGACTGATGGTAGTTTTCAGTTTTAGTTTTACTCTTAGATAACCTGCAGGGCAGGTTGTGAAGTTGGAGGGCACTTAAAGAAATGCCCGAGTCTAGCCTAGGACTTGTCTAAAATGGAGCCACAGCCCTCTGGTTTGGATCTGGGTATGTCCAACAGACACGGGTTCCAATCCCAGCCCTGCCACCTTTGCTTGGGCTCTGTGGAAGGAGATTAGCAAGGGAGTCCCAGGCACAACTGAACAAGCATGTCGTTGGTGCTAGACGGTACTGATGGAGGATACAGAAGCCTCTGGAAGGAGAGGGATACACTCAGGCCTGTTCACCGAGAAAAGGCGAGGCAGCCGGCACATGTTGCTTGCACAGTCCTGAAGTGGACATGATCAAACTGTCTATCAGCTGGTGATAGACAAAAACCCACATGGGACAGGACTCAGTGTAGATAGGAGCGAAGCCCTGACACCTGCCCCAAGGTGGCCGCACCTTGGAAGAATAATACCAAATGTGAGAGGTCACATGTTCCTAGATTCCACTGGCGGGAACCCATAGAGTCAAAAGCAGAGGGAGGATTTCCACTTGGGTTGATGACAATGTTCTGGTACCAGATCGAAAGGGTGGTTGCGTGACCTTCTGAATGGACTTACTGCCTTGGAAGGTACCCTAGAAAGTGGCTTAAATGGTCCATTCTTATCTGTTTTTAAAAATATGCATCTATTTACATTGCTGTTCATTTTACAACCCTATTTACTTCCCCCTCCCCCACCCGTCATCATCATAGTCCCTGCATTCCTCCCTCCTTGTGTCCCTCTTTGTCCCCCTCCCCTGTAGGATCTCGCTGGTTTATAATTGTCTGTTTTTGATTGCTGGGTAGTATTCCATTTTGTGTGTGTGTGTGTGTGTATATATATATATGTGTGTGTGTGTGTGTGTATTTATACATATTTATATGCATATACATTTGTATGTATTTATACGTATATTTATATATGTGATATATAAATATATATGTATATATGTGTATATATATAACCTCTTCTTATATGTCTTTGACCACAGTCTTAAACTACTCATTTTTTGAACATAAGAAATGTGCTTATAAAAAATCTGCTTACATGTAGGACATGAGTTGCACCAAGTATCCCCACTTGAGGAGTTTGCATGGTGGTGTGGTAGCTGGGGGTCGAGGGAGGCGATACATGAATGCAAAATCAACCGAAGCAGGTGACTTCAGAATGCTCAGCGCTGCCAGTAAAACAACAGGAGGAAGTAATAAGAATGATGGATCATTTGTGTTTAAGCTTCGTGGGTGCCTGGCACGGTTTTAGGAGCTTTTCATTATCATCTTGATTTTACAGATGAACAAAGTGAGCCATAGGAAGGGTGAGCCTCTCCCCACAGCTCTGCTAATCGGTGGTAGAAACTGGGGTGTACTAGTGCTCAAAACTGCAGAGCTGGAAGTAACTGGAATGCAGTGACTAGGGGTATGACTTGGCCACCTGCCAAGGAGCCCACGTGGTGGGAACAGTGTAGCAGAAGTGCTGCTGTAGGAACTGGCATGGTGGGTAAGGCTGAGGGAACACTGGGGGATGGCCGGGACTACAGGCTAGAGGACAGCCCCATCATGCTCTACGCAGGTTCCCAGGGTCAACAGCACAGACTCCAGGGCCTCCCTGGCGACTCAGGGGGTTAAAGTGAGCACTCTGACGCTATCGCAGCCACTGCAGCGTGAGTTCAATTCCCTGGGACAGGGAGGTGACCCACATGGTGCAGCAGACCTCTCCTGACCTGCCTGCTGCTCCCCTCAGCAGCGTATTTCAGTCAGTCAGCCTGTTCTGCTCTCCGCTCTTCTCTGGTGAATCCTTTCACTCCCTGCACCTCTGGCCTGTGCCCCAGTTCTGTATGCATAAGTAAGTAAATCTTTAAAAAACAGAACAACGCAGCCTCCATAGTGATCGAGGAAGACACTGCAAAGTCCCAAGAGAAAGGTGTGTCCTGCCCTCAGGAGCTGGACCTGCTGATCTGGGAGGACGGGTTAGCAGGAAAGGGTGGCCACACCTGTCCTTTGCTTTTGTTTTTCTGAAGATTTATTTTTATTTTATTTATGCATAGAAGAACCAAGATGCAGGCCAGAGGTGCAGGGGGGTGAAAGGACTCACCGGAGACAAAATGGGGAGCAGAACTACTGGCGTATCTACTGGGATGCACTGCTGAGGGGAGCAGTGGGGAGACAGGAAAGGACTGCTGTGGCACCCCGTGTGGGTCAACTCCTTGGCCTGGGATCAAACTCTGGCTGACTGACAATAGCTTGATAGTTTTAGACTTTAACCCCTGCATCACCACGGAGGCCTTGTTTCTTTTCAAAAGAGCTTAATACTTTTTTTAATTATAATAGTTTATTTTTACATCATTTTGTACTTTTTTTTT